CTCCCTCCACCTCCTCCTTCGTCCTCCTCCTCCTCCTCCTCCTCCTCCTCCTCATCCTCCGCCTCTTCTACCTCCTTTTCCTCCTCCTCGTCCTCGTCCTCCTAATCCTCCTCCTCCTCTCCAGCCCCTCTCCGTGACCCAAAAGGGGGTCCAGCTGAAACGTGGTGGTGCAATAGAGTTGGGGCGATTGTATTGCAAACGTACTGCGCCAGACAAGTGCACTGCATTGCATTGCAACTACTACCTGGCACGCGAAAGTCCGGCAATACATTTGCGCACTGGGATGTACTGCACACCCCAAGTCTACCCACAAATCTATTGCACCAAATGTATTGCACCACCCCCTTTTCGCTGGACCTTGGTGGGCCCCGGAAACGGCAGGGCCGTTTTTTTCACCGTTTCCACAAAAAAAGTCCCTTGAAAACGGGAACGGCAAACAAACGGCGACCGGAAACGGCAAAAAAAACAACTCCAGGATCGGAACTGGAGCCCGAACCGGTAAAAAAACGGCGACGGAACCGGTAAAAAAACAGCGTCGGAACCGGCAAGAAAACGGCAAAACGGAACCGGTAAAAAACGGCCCTGTCGTTTCCAGGGCCCACTAAGCGCTGGACCCAATTTTGGGTCAACCAGAACACCTACGTCCGATGCGATCCAGAAGCTGAAGCGGCTTCACCCTACGAGTAAGCCAGGACGAGGAGAACACCGGGTGAGGATACGGGCGGCTCTGGAAGATGTCTCGAGCGCCACGGCCTTCTCAGAGCGTTCCGGAACGCTCTGGGAGCGTTCTGGAACGCTCAGGAACGGATGTGTCCTCGTCCTGGGCCCCGTCCGAGTTTTCCCTGTCTCACCCTGTGTCCGACCCGATCGAGTAGCTGGAGCGGCCTCCCCTCAGGCGCAGACGAATGCCATTTCAAACAAAGGGAGAGAACGCTCGGCCTAAGCGGCCGGAAACAGGAAGCGACAAGGGTCCTGGGCGGGGAGGCCAGCAGGGTCAGAACTCTGCCCTGCCACCAGAAGTGGCCGAGGAAGTACCAGGGTAATAAGAAAAAAAGCAAACCTTACAATCGAAGCGAGCCCAGGGGTGGCCGTCACGCAGCAGAGCCCAAGGCGATGACTAATACATTGATTTTTTGGGACTGCGCGTTGGCGTCGTCATTGAAATGAGAACACCGTCATCTCCCAAACCTTTCCCAGCAACATAAACATATGATCTCGATAACTCCCTGGCGCTGTTATTCTCAAGCGTGCTGGCACGTTGTCACACAGAACTGCTCCCCACCCTTGCAGCTGGCGTGTCAACTGTCCAAAGAAGTGTCTGCGTCGTCAACACGAGTCCGTGAGAGCAAGACTTTGAAAAGGGAGCGCCCTCCTTCCCTGTAATAAGCTGCTGTAGTTCTTTGGCTGTGCGGCGATACTGAGGGTGGAAACGCCCCAAGAAAGACCACGAGCTGGAAGGCCACGACATCCAACATGGAGGTCTTAGTTCGACAAGAAAGATACCACCCTCCCGAGACAAAATCAATTGATGGAAGCAGGCACGCGGTGATGTGGGATTGTTCGAATCGCTGCGAGGTCGCATCGAGGCCGTTTGGCTTGTGGCCCCCCAAAGACCCCCCTCCCAGCGTTGGCGGCGGTGGCCGCCGAGCGCAGTTCCCCGGGCCAGCTCTGCTTGGGGGCCGGGGGGCGCGGCGGGTTATTCAGAGGAGGAAAAGGTACCCATACCTCTACCCTTTCCTCGTTTTCTCCTTTGTGGGCATTCTGGGAGGCTCTCGTGGCCACCGCTGGATTCGCCTCGAAATCCTGGTCAGAATGCACCCAAAGAGAGGTCCAGGGAGTAGCGGTATCGTCACCTTTTGGATTCCCAAGTTGCAGAACATGCGGTCTCCACCCAGACATGCTCTGAAGACATGGTTTGCCCCCCAACCCTTCTCCAGAGTCCCCCCATCTGTGCAAGGGGGCGCGGCCGTGTCGTAGATGCAGCCGATTCCAGTCTGGCACTCCCTCATGCCGCTGCGGGCCTGGCACTCTACGTCGGAGAGTGCCTGCAGAAAGCGCGACTCGCCCACCGACGTTACAGAACTCACTCCGCATGAATGGACGATGCAAGAAGCGATCTGTCAGAGAATATGCTCGCAGCCATGCAACGTGCCTTCTCCTTACACTGCCCTGCAGGAGGACAGAGGAGTATGATGATATAGGGGAGAACAGGGTGCGGAGGAGAACTGCTGCTTTTCAAAACAAGCAAGCCCTCCCCCATAACAGATGACCTGAATGATTCGGCCGCCGGAGATCAAAGGACCTCACCATTCCGGAAAAGAAATGACGTCGTCACGGACGTGCCTAGGAAATATTTGGAGCGACCGTGATGACGAGGAGGAGCAGAAGGAGGAGGAGGAGGAGGAGGAGGAGGAGGAGGAGGAGGAGGAGAAGGAGGAGCCAGGGCGCTGCGCACTGATTTGAGGCATCCCAGATCGCGGACGAGGAGGACGAGGTCGAGGAGAACGCGGATTACGGAGACGAGCACAGGGAGTATGGACGAAGACGAGGACGAGGAAGAGGCAGAGGACGACGAGGAGATCGGAAAGGGAGAGGAAATGGAGTGGGAGGAGGAGAGGAAAGAGGAAACAGAGTAGGAGGAGGAGGAGGAGGAGGAGGAGTGCAGGCGGTACAGACTGGAGGAGGTGGGGGGCAGGTGGAACAGGAGGAGGCGGCAGGCAGGAGGCAGGCACGAGGGCCGAGGCCTGGAGGGAGAGGCGAGAGAAGGGAGGCGGAAGAGGGGGGAAGCAGGAAGGAGGCGGAGAAGGAGGCGGAGGAGGAAGAGGAGGAAGAGGAGGAAGAGGAGGAGGAGGAGGAGGAGGAGGAGGAGCAGGCGGAGGAGAGCGGGATGGGGCCACAAGGGCGAAGCAGAGAACGGAGAAGAGCACGCAGACATGAGCGTGCGGACGTCCGCGGGCGCCTGCTCCACCATCGCCACTCTCCACCCCCCCGCCAAGGGGGCCCCCAGGCGGCGCCTCCGGCGCCATCCCTGGCACGCCTCGCCCAACGTGGAGCGGCGTGGTTTAGGTCGGGCGTGTCCTCCTACAGGCGGATTTTGGACGACAAGCGTAACATAGTCAACAGATATCCCCCAAAAAGCTACAGCTAGTCGAGAAATCGTCCCCCGACTATTTTTGGACCATTTTTGACTACCCCTCCTGTGGAGGGACGTGCCCGACTCGAGCGTGGCGAGGGCCCCCGCGCGGCCCCCGCGCGCCTGCGCCGCCGCGCCGGCCGCGCCCGTTCTGCGCCGCGTGCGCCCTGTGGCGGCCCAAGACCGGCGCGTGCAGCCGCAGCCGGAGAGGAGGTGCCGGCTGGCCGACGGCTCCGCCGCCGAGTCTGCAGTGAGTGCCGAGGCGACGACAGGGGCGAAGAGCCCAGGGGAGAGCACTACATGAGTTCAGGTGCGCCGATGCTCTATGTCTCCGAAAAGGCTCCCGGGCGACTACGTGTACTGCCCGCCCATGGGCTATTCGCCCCTATCGTCGCCGCCGATGGGTATCGTTGAACCGATCCCCATCCCCAGCGGTGTGGCCTGGGCCCCACTGGTCGATTTACCCCCCTGGATGGCGATATAGGTCGTGCCCTTCGGGTGTCGAGGGGGGTACCCCTAACTCGGGTGGTAATTCGGCGGGGGTCTCGAAGGGGATGGGGATGGAGATGGGGATTGGTCAAACGATACAGATGTAGGGAAGGAGAGCGGAGAAGCCGCCCGCGGGTGGCCGAGAGTGCAGGTTCGGGCGCCGCTGCGCCTCTAGATGCCTCCCGATCGCGCCGCATCGCCGATGCATCGGCGATGCATCGGCGATGCACCGGCGATGCACCGGCGATGCATTGGCGACGTCGGCGATGCATCGGCGCCGTCGGCGTTGAGAAAATCGGACTCCGCATGGAGCCGCATCGCCGATGCTTTGCCGGTGCATCGGCGATGCGGCGCGATCCTCCGGCCCCATCTGCTCGGACTCCATCTGGGAGGCCTAGAGAGCCGCAGAGTCGGGCAGGGTCGCGGCTCTGTCGTCCTGAGGCGAAGGCTGTGCCAACTTTCGAAGAAGGAAAAACACACAAACTTTCGGCGCTCCGTGCGGATTTCATGGATCTGCGCTGGACCCCCCTTCCCTGGCGAGCGCTGTGCTAACTTTCGAAGAAGGAAAACGGCCAGAAACACAAACTCTCGGCGCCCCGCGCGGATTTCATGGATCTGCGCTGGCCAGAAACACAAACTTTCGGCGCCCCGCGCGGATTTCATGGATCTCCGCTGGGCCCCCCTTCCCTGGCGAGCGGAGCGCGCCGGGGGGCCGCGCCGGAGGCGCCGCCGCCGGGGCCACAGCGCGGATCCACGAAGTCCGCGCGGAGCCTGGCCATCGCTTGGGCGTTCATTTCCTGTGCTGTTTTCGTTTTCGTGCGTGGTTATTTCGCGAAATGATCAAGGATGCTCCCCGATGGTCCTCGCCGAGGGAACAATGCACACGTCCGAGCGATGCCAAGGAGCGTCAGAAGTGTATGTTCATGGCGTTGGTCTCTTCTTCGAGGCTTCCAGGCAGCCTGTCCTCCCTCAAACCCCCGCGCCTGCATGCTGCGGCCTCCCCCCGCACCCATCGGTGGCAACTCACGGGAGCCGCCCATACCATCTTGTCGGCTCTGGCGAGGCAACGCTAAGTCGACGCTAATCGACGCTAGATCGACGCTCATCGACGCTAGCCGACGCTAAATCGGAACTGTCTCGTGACTCCCAGACGCTAATCGGCACGAGTCGACGCTAAAGACGGAAGTCAGAGGACATACCGTCTCTAGGGTCGATTAGCCTCGACTAGCGTCTGGGAGTCCTGAGATAGCGCAGATTTAGCGTCGGTTAGCGTCGATTGGCGTCGATTTGGCGTCGATCTTGCGTCGACTAGCGTCGCTTCGCAAGAGCCGACAAGATGGTACGGGGGACTCCCATGAATTGCCCTCGAATTCAAACTCCCCGCGCCAGCATGCGGCGGCCTCCCCCCGCATTCCATCCTTGCCCACAGCTGCTTTTCACCCTGGCCCTGGCGAGCAGGCTCCAGGGCCATGCAGGAGGGAAGAGGGCAGCAGGACTGTGGCCAGGAGGTCTTGCTTGTAGCGAGTCGCCGCGGTGTGGCCCCGGAGATCGCTGTGCGGGAGGCTGCGAGAGGTCTTGACCCAGCCGCGAGCGGGGGGGGAAAGTGAGAAGGAGAAGACCTTGCCAGAAGGCGGCGGGACTTCTCAGAAACCCGACTGCCTTCTGAAAGGTGTCCTGTGTCTTTGGGGAAAGCTTAGAAATCTTCTCAAATACCCAGAAGACTTCCGGGGTTTCTGACAAGGCCCGCCCCTTTTACCTTCCCCCCCTCGCTCGCCGCCGATTGACACTTTGGGACCAGTAAATGATTAGCGTGTCGCAAATAGCGGGGGGCCAAAGCGGGCGAAACAGAATGCGAAACACGAGTTCCCGGCCGCAGGGCTGGCGTGCTCTGCTTCAGGGGCGCACCATGCTGGAACTACGCGCGCGCGGTTTACGAGCGTTTGGGTGGAAACGCAAAACAGAGCGACATCACGGCACAGTCTCTGCATGGACGAAGTTCCGCAACGAATGCTGGGCGGGGACGTGTCGAACGCCAGCGGAAGCACGTATCTGTCATGCTTAGTCGCATCTGCTCATCGCTTGGAGGCCAAGGGACTCCCAGGAGAGCCGCGGCCAACCGAGGCCATCCAATTCGACATGCAACAAGCAGGAAATAGATAAGACACTACCTCGCCGAACTCCGCAAACTCGGGGGTGCTAGCTTCGTTCTTCCTCTCATAAGAGACACGCCGCCAGAGGCTCACCCAAGGGAGGCTGCAAGGATAAGGAGGTGCCGATGGTTGTCCCGGTTCTAATCCTGACGGTTGCCCCGATGATTGTCCCGGTGTTTGTTCGGGTGGTTGTTCCGATGGTTGTCCCGATGATTGGCTATCCCGATGGTTGCCCCGATGGATGTTCCGATGGTTGTCCCGCTGGTTGTCCAGAAGACTGGTTGTCCTGATGATTGCCCCGATGGTTGCCCCGATGGTTCTCACAAAGGGTGTCCCGATGGTTGTGCCGATGGTTGTCCCGATGGTTGTCCCGATGGTTCGGCCGATGGTTGCCCCGATGGCTGTCCCGATGGTCCTGCGAGGCCTATATACAAAAAGTGCGCTTTGCGATGCCCCGCTGCCATAACATGCTTTCCACGGGGCGGGAAACACAGGCCCTGCGGGGAAAAGTAGCCTGGCGAAGCACCCAACCATATGCACTTGTGAATACCGCCATTGCGAATACCATCTTCGCCCGCGCTCCCTATGTGGCCACGGCTTCCCGCCCGAGCCCGACATGTTCAGGAACACGTTCGTGGCCGTCTTCGCGGGCGCCGACGACGACAAGGACGGCGCCCCTCTGACCAAGGAGCAGAAGCAGGAGAGAGCTTTGAAAGCCATGAGGGAGGAGGTGGCGTTGCCCGTCGACAAAGCGGAGTACGACGCCCAGGCGCGGTTGTTGAAGCAGCACAACTATGGGGCCACGATCCTCGTGAGGGGTGTGCCGCAATGGCCCAGGGCCGCCATGCGAACCCTGCCACTGGCGCCTTCGGTGAAGCCCCTGTGGGGCCACGATCTCGTGAGGGGTGTGCCGAAACGGCCCGAGGCCGCCATGCGAACCCTGCCACTGGGACCTTCGGTGGAGCTCCTTATGAGGCCACGATCCTCGTGAGCGGTGTGCCGAAACGGCCCGAGGCCGCCATGCGAACCATGCCACTGGCGCCTTCGGTGGAGCTCCTTATGGGGCCACGATCCTCGTGAGGGGTGTGCCGAAATGGCCCGAGGCCGCCATGCAAACGTTGCCACTGGCGCCTTCGGTGGAGCTCCCTGTGTGGCCACGATCCTCGTGAGGGGTATGCCGAAATCGCTTGAGGCCGCCATGCGAACCCTGCCACTGGGACCTTCGGTGGAGCTCCCTATGGGGCCACGATCCTCGCGAAGGGTGCGCCGAAATGGCCCGAGGCCGCCATGCGAACCCTGCCACTGGCGCCTTCGGTGGAGCTCCCTATGGGGCCACGATCCTCGTGAGAGGTGTGCCGAAATGGCCCGAGGCCGCCATGCGAACCTTGCCACTGGCGCCTTCGGTGAAGCTCCCTATGGGGCCACGATCCTCGCGACAGGTGTGCCGAAATGGCCCGAGGCCACCACGCGAACCCTGCCACTGGAGGCATTCGGTGGAGCTCCCTATGGGGCCACGAAACGCTGTACTGGGTGGGTGAAACGCAGGGAGGAAGGAGGAGGAGGAGGAGGAGTTCTGGTCTCCCAAAACGAGGACCCAACACCACAGGATGGTTGGGAAAAACATACAAAAAGTGCGCACAGCGAAGGAGGGAGTGAGACGGATCGATCGGTTCATACACGGGAATCGGTGGACAGGCAATAAGATAAATCGATACTTGGACATGCGTTGACAGATATATCGGTACATTGGTAGATAGAGGGAAAGATCGACCAGTTGTCCACATGGAAAATGGTAAGATCGACACATAGATTGGTAGTGGGAGCGAAAGATATTGCATGAGACAGGTAGATTGTTAGGCAGGACAAGTAGAATATTTAAGGACTGACATCCCGAGAGTGAGATAAGTAGATAGACATATGGTGATATCTATAGAAATAAGACACAGTAAGACATACCTGCTTACATATATACACAAATGTATGTACTGAGACGTTGATAGGTTTGTATATACAGCGAGATGGTGAAACAGTGGTACATGCACATGTATTTAGCTATCTACAAAGACATAAATTGAAGTGACTAGCTAGGCAGACATATAGAAAAGGCAGACCGGTATGATTGCCCCGATGGTTGTCCTGGTGGTTGTCCCCACGTTGATCCCGATGGTCGTCCAGATGGGTGTCCCGATGGTTGTCCAGAGGGGGGGAGGGAAAGGGAGGGCGGGCGGGAGAGAGAGGAGGAGAAATGGAGGGTTTGGCTGGGAGGGCGGACGGGAGGAGGAGGGAGGAGGGGGGAGGCAGGGAGATGGGAGGGAGGGAGCAGGGAGAGATGGAGGGACGGAGGTGGAGGAGGAGGAGCGGGAGGAGCAGGAGGCCAGAGCCTGTCGAACGCACAAGACGGAGCAGGAGGAGGGCCCTCAGAGCCGACGCTGCGAGAAACTGCAGCATCGAAAAGGAATCCCCATCGGAGCCCTGGGCCCCATGCTTCTCTGGTATTTTTCGCGCCGGGTCAGTCTGTGATGGTCCAGGGGCCCGACACCGGGCGAAGACGCCCTTTGCTCAGAAAATCGCAACGCCCTGCTCTGAAGGTCCTCCTCCTCCCCGTCCTCCTCCTGTGTCTCCTTGTCCTCCTCCTCCCCTGTCCACCATCCCCTGCTCCTGCTCCTCCGCCTCGTCTGTTCAAATCCTTCTCCGCCTCCTCCTCGTGCTCCTCATCCTCCTCCTGCTTCTCCTCCTCATCATCCTCCTCCTCTGCATCATCATCATCATCATCATCAGCATCATCATCATCAGCATCAACATCATCATCGCCACCAACATCATCAGCATCAGTATCAGCAGCATCAGCATCATCACCAGCATCATCATCATTGTCATCACCATCATCATCATCATCAGCAGCAGCATCATCATCACCGTCATCATCATCGTCATCGTCGTCATCGTCGTCATCGTCATCATCGTCATCATGATGATGATGATGATGATGATGATGATGATGATGATGATTATCAGCATCGTCACCATCATTGGCATCGTCATCATGATCATCATCATGTCCATCATCATCAATGTCATCATCGTGACCTCCTCAGCATCATCAGTATCATCATCAGTTTCAGAAATATCATCGTCATCATGATCATCATCATCCTTACCCTCGTCACCATCACCATCATCATCGTTATCATCATCACCGGCATCCTCACCATCACATCATCAGCATCATCATCAGCATCAGCATCCTCATTATCAGCAGCAGCGTCATCATCGTCGTCATCAGCATCATCCTCCTCATCACCATCGTCATCATCATCGCCATCGACATCATCGTCGTCGTCATCATCATCAACATCACCATGATCAGCAGCATCATCATCATCATCATCATCATCATCAGCATCAGCATCAGCATCAGCATCAGCATCATCATCACCATCCTCATCCTCATCCTCATCCTCATCATCATCATCATATTCATCATCATCATAACCACCATCATCACCATCACCATCACCATCACCATCCCCATCATCATCATCATCATCATCATCATCATCATCAGCATCATCATCATGAGCATCATCATTATCAGCAGCAGCGGCATCAGCATCAGCATCATCAGCATCATCATCGTCGCTCCTCCTCCCCCTCCTCGTTGTCCTCCTCCCCCTCCTCGTCCTCGCCCTAGAGGGGGCCTCCTCGGCGCCCCTTTCCAAGGGCCCAGAGGGCGCGCCCCCCCCCCCGCCCCAGCGGCGCCTCGGGGGGAGGCGGCTCCTCCCTCTCGCTGCACTTGAAGACGTCCTCCCGCCCGGGCGCCCCCACCCCCCCCCCGCGTCGCGGGGCGAGTTGGCGGTCGTCGTCGACGCCGCCGCCGTCGTGGTCGTCGTCGCCGCCGTCGTCGTCGCACTCCCCCCGCCCTGCTCCTCCCTCCTCCTCCGGCAGGGCCCCGCCGGGGTGGAGCGCAGGACCTCCCTCGGACCGCCTCCTCGGAGGAGGCGGCGGAGGGAGATCTTGAGAGGTGGACGTGGGTTAGAGTCAAGCGCTAACGCCCAGGCAGCAGCAGGGACCGAACGAGGACCTGGGGGAGGAGAGGTGGTGGAGGAGGGGAGAGAAGGCGGAGGTTCCTCTTCCTCCTCCTCCTCCTCCTCCTCCCCCTCCTCCTCCTCCTCCTTCTCCGCCTCCTCCGCCATGATTCTCCTCCTCTTCCTCCTCCTCCTCCTCCTTCCCCCCCGCTTTGCCTGCACATCAATTTCCGCGAGGAGCCCAGGGGGTGCGGCACAACCCCAAGCCGCGAGGAAAAACAAGCGTACCACCGAGAGAAAGCATGGCCAGTGCCCTCGACCCCGTCTCGGGCGTTGCTGGAAGTACCCCTGGTCCAAGGTACCCCCCAGGATTCTCAGGGTGACCCAGACGGCCCCCGGGGCACCCCTCACGAGGCCCGGAGGGCCCCAGGGGCCCAGGAGGACCCCTCACGGAGCGACAAGCTGGGAGCACATTGGGCCAGGGGCGCGTCTAGCAACACCCGACCGTCCATATCTCTTGAGCATCGCTCGATCCGGAGACCCGCGAGGGCCTCGGGGTCCGACGCCTGGGGTAAGAACGCCTCGTGCGAACAGAAACGCGCGGCGCCAGATCAGCAGGGCATCTTACTGCTCCCTGCTTCGGGGCCCGCAGCCTGGGCAAGAACGCCCAGTGGTGCGAACAACAGCGCAGCGCCAGAACAGCAGGGATCTTGCTGCTCCGTGCCTGGGGGCCCGCGGTTTGGGCAGGAACGCCCAGTGTGAACAACAGCGCGACGCCAGAACAGCAGCGGCCTTGCTGCTCCCTGGTTCTTCCTTCCTTTCTTTCTCTCGTCAAGGGCGCATACAATGGTGTTCCTCACACGCGGCGACTGCTGCGAGGCAATCGTGCAGGGCTTCTCGTGCTGACCCCTTGGACCGGATACTTGTGCTGCCACTCGGTGCTTCAATGACTCGACTGGGTTCTTAAAAGGCATGACATAAATTTTCGGAGGCGCGCGCATATCTTGTGCCCAACCCTGACGCGCAGATCGCGCTGCGGAGGCGCCGCCAGCGGGGCCCAGCGCAGATCCCAGAAAGCCGCGCGGACCTCCGAAAGTGTATGTTCATGCACTTGTCCTCCCGAATTCCTGCTGCTCTCTCGCACTGTTCCCAAGGGTGGGCGGTGGTGGCCGCGCACCCTGGCAGAGGTTCACCTGCCACCGCTCGCCCTCGCTGTGAGAGGGGCGGACATATCCATGGCCGCCCCCAAGGCGCACCGACGTCCTGGGACACTGCGGGGGCAGTGGCCACATATGGATACGCGCGCGGGCCAAAATTCTTGACGCTGGCACTGTCCGCAATGGCATAGCGGGGAACGCGACGCTCTTGGGCCCCTCCAGAGCCCCGGATCTGGCCTTCGGTCGGACGTGTCCTCCTCCCGCCGCACTTTGGACGAAAAATGAAAAAAAGTCCAAAAATATTCAAAAAACAAATCAAAAGTACCCAAAAAATGGTCCCCCATACTATTTGTTGTATACGCCCCCTGTAGAGAGCCAGGCCCCACTTGAATCTGGCCCGAATCGGCACGTTCCCCGAAAAAGCCACCCACGGCATCCCCTGCGTGATCCCAAAATCGGCCGAGATTTCGGCCAACGCGCCGATGTGTGTGCGGGCCCGGCGGGCCCGAACGTGTCCACATTTGGCGGCGCGCAAGGGGGCTAGGGGGGAGGGGGTAAGGCTTCTTAGAAGCACGCTGCTTCTCAGAAGGCCCCGGCCTTACGTCTATAGAGGAGGCCCGCGCCTTCTCAGAAGCAGGGGTGCTTCCAAGAAGCCCTCCCCCCTCCCCCATACCCTCCCTCTGCGCGTGGCTGACATATGGCTGTCTCTGGAGACCGTGAACCAAAACCACGTTGTTAGCTCTTGGGGGCGCATTTTGTTAACTTCCGCCGGCTTCCGCCGGCGGAGGCGGCCTCGCTTGACCTCCTTGCTTGCGGACGCTACACCCTATAAGATTCGGCTGGATGTCTTGCGATTGGGCTCGATGAAAAACAACCGCATTCGCGGCGCAGCAAACTCACAGAATACTAAGGCACAGAATACCAAGGCACAGAAAGCCAATATCCTTCGAATTGTGCTGGAGCCCGAAGGGGGCGCCGAGACGGGGATGACGAGTCGTTGAAAGCAAACAGAACCCGCTTGACCTCCGCGGGCTTCCGCCGCCCTCCCTGCCGCCTTCCGCCGAGGAACAGGTGCCAGCTCCTGCGGTCCTCGAAAGCGGAGCCCTTCCTGGAACGCCCAAATCCAGCGCGCCCCACGAGGCTCCGCAAGATCGGCTCGGTTCCCTGGGCGGAGGGTGTGGACAGGTGACGTGGCGACATCCGAAGCCTACCCCCACCAACCATCAATGCTCCTGAATCGATGTGAGGTGGGGGCAGACTGCGGATTTCGCCACGTGCTCGCCGCACTACGAACCCTGCCCCCCCGCGGCCCATCGAGCTGCCTGAACTGATGGGCCCATGTTCCACCACCACCACCATAGGTAGGAGAGGGAGGAGGAGGACGAGCAGCAGGAGGAGGAGAAAGAGGAGAAGAAGGAGGAGGAGAGGAGAGGGAGGACGAGGAGAAGGAAAAGAGTAGGAAAAGGAGGATGAGGAGGAGGAAGAGGAGAAGGAGGAGGAGGAGAAGGAGGAGGAGAGGGAGCAGGAGGAGGAGGAGGAGGAGGAAAAGAGGAGGAGGAGGAGGAGGAGGAGGAGGAGGGGAAGAGAGGGAAAAGAGGATGAGAAGAAAAAGAGGAGGAGGACGAGGAGGTGGAGGAGGAGAGGGAGGAGCTCCAGGAGGAGGGCCCGGATCTCGCCGCCGAAGGTCGGCTCGGCTCCCTGGGCGGTGGCTGCGGGCAGGTCCCGCCGCTCGCCCCCGCGCGGCCCCCCCCGCGCCCCCGCTCCAGCCACTCGCAGCGCAGCCGCCTCTCGCCGAGCAGGCAGGCCTTCTGCGTGTCGTACGCCTCGTCGGGTGGAGGTGGGAGAGAGAGAGAGAGAGAGAGAGACAAAACAAACACAAGCATAGTAATAATGACAATGCAATGAATACTAACGATGATGCTAATATGAATAATGATGGTGATGGTGATGAAGATGATAAGAATACTACTACATATAATAATAATAATATTACTCATAACAATAATAAGAAGAAGAAGAAATATAATAATGAGATAACAAAAACAAAGAAGAAAAAGATAACGTGCTCTTGCCATCCCTCGGACGCCCACTCCCCCATGCGTTGCTTGGTGCCGTCCGGGTTGTGCGTCTCAGGGTGGTCAGAGATGCTTCCGAGATGGTCCAGACTTTCTGGCGCTGGCCCGGTCGAACGCAAGGCACGCGTCCGAGCGATTCCACGCGCGCTGCTTTCCCCAAACCTTCCTTCCGCGTCGTCGTCGCCGTGGTCGTCGTGTTCGTTGTCGTTGTCGTCGCCGTCCTCACCTACGTCGGCGACGACGTCATCATCGTCCCCGTCCTCCTGCTCACTGGCCCGTGATCGCATCGCAGAGCCCCCTTCCCGTCAGTTGGGAAGTTGGCAACTCGGATTATCCAGGTGTGGACACAATCGACAGGAGTTGAACGTTGGGTAGAACGGTTTGGAACCAATAATGCGAGATGACGATTAATTAAAAAATGGGAGAGAACGATTAAACAAATAGTTTCTGCTATTTCTGCACCATTTTCTGACTGGAGGAGAATGTTTTAAAAAGAACAGTTTTCCAGCCCGCGGCCGGTTTTTTCTAATCGTCATCCCGGGCGCCGCCGCGTGAACACGACCCCCGATCATGTATTAATCGCCATCCTCCGTTCGGTAGAGCGGTTTGGAAACCATATGAGACGAGGCGAACGTTCAAAGGTTTTCCACAGGGGGCGCAGTCACACCTTTGTTGCAGCGGAGGGCCGCGCCGCGCTACCGAGGGCGCGGAACGCGGCGAGGGAATGGAGGACGACGACGGGGGGAGCGGGGAGGGAGGAGAGAAGAGGCAAGAAGGACGATGAAGAGGGCGAGGAGGGAAATCTGAGGAGGGGAAAATATGGGGAAAACAAACCTACCTCGTGTTTGACCACCCTCGCTTCCAAGAGATACCAAACGATGCCAAATTGCAGCCTGTATTGGTCAGGCCGCTTGACCATGCGGCGCGTGGTATGGCTTGGTTTTGCCTGGAAGCGAAAGCGGGGTAGGTAATTCACGCTCTGAAAAAAAGGAGAAAGGCCCATGGCAACCCAAGATGCATCAGCGATGCTCAAACAATCCTCGTGCTCCATGCCCCCTCCACAAAAACCTTGCAAGTGCTCCTGTTCACTGCGGGATAAGCCCGCTTGAAACGTGCCTGCAAATCGTCGCCTTTGCAGTGTACGCGGAGAAGCGCATCCGCGCGGGCCCACATTTGTAGTAGTTGGGCGCGGTCCTCTCTGAATGCGCGCATACCAGGTTGTAAACTGATGCGGTCCTGCAGAAAGCACCCCGTGAAGCAGGAGACACAGCGCCGACAGTGCAGCGGTCACCCAACATCCTCCTTACACCTGCTCATGCACGTACGAGTCGGGCCACTCCAGCTGCAAAAACTAAGAAGGAGCGCTGACAATATACACACATAAACCACCCACGCCTCACAATGTAGTCCAAGCAAGCGTCTTGCCACGCGTGCGCGCGCCGGTGACACTTGGCAAATTCGGCTACACGCAAGAGTGACCCTGGGTAAGAGTGACCTTTGGTGCGCGGCTTTTTGGGGGCCGCGGGGGGACCACACCTGGGCGCGCAAGCAGCTGCTCCTGCCTCGTCTCCAGCCATCTCGGGACCCATCTGTGCCCGCACCAGAGGTCACTCGGGCGAAAGGTCTCTCTTACGTCTAGTTGAAGAAATCACTTGGGCCGTCTGGGGGTCCTGCAGGGAAGTCATTTGAACCGGCTTCGGGCTCTCTCCAGGCGTTGTGGAGCCGTCCTGGGGCCCTGCAGAGAGCTTTCATAGCTGTGTGATCAAGTCGGGCATGTCCCCCTACAGGGGCATTGTGGACAAAAAACAATACTGAGAGAAAAACACACACACACAACACATGATCGAAAGTTGTCGAAAATATTCAAAAGATCGGGCCCGGACTATTATTTACCATGCCCGGCCCCGTAGTAAACTCACAAGCCATCTGGCTGGCTGCTGCGCGGGCAAGTCTTTCCGGGCGACGGGGCGGCTGCCGCACACCATGCTCTGCTGAGGGCCCTCGGGCGGGCGACTGCGACCCACGTCGACCACTGCAATGCGAACTGCAATCGCAAACCAGATAACCAATGGCTCCCAACTTCGCGCTCCGCGCTGCGCGAAGCGCGAAGTGCGAATAGCTTCGCGCTCGCGCCGCCTCCCAGGGGAGAAAAGGAGGAGGAGGAGGGATCGGAGCCGAACCGCGAAGCGCGAAGCACGAATAACTTCGCGCCCTCGAGGGCGCCCTTGGGAATGCTTCATGATCAGGGCGATGTCGTTCGCAAACGCGCGAGCCAGGGTGGCGTCCGAGCGCGCGTGCACCAGCGCGGCGACACGCAGAGCCGCTGCGACCTCTCACGCACCGTCATTGTTAGGGCATTTCTGCACGCAGCGCGCTCGGCTACACGCAGCATGCAGAGCAGTTCGGGGCCAGGGGGGTGGAAGTGGCGTGTCGTAATTTATCCAAGACGTTTCGGATATGAGCCCGAAGAGTGCTCCGCGAATTCAGCGAGATCTCAGCCCAGCGCACACCCCGCAAGGTGCACAAATGGGAAGCAGACGAGGACACAACCTCAAAGCCCAGATGGAACACAAATGCGTCCGTGCCCTCCGTCCCAAGAGGGGAGCTTGCCGTTCCCACTCTGGAGCGCCAGTTTTGGCGAGCTGAGGGGTGCTCAAGACTCCTTGCCCAATTGACACTCATCGCGCTGATCATAAGGCGATTTTCGCTGATAACACGGAAGGAGGACGAGAAGGACTGGAAGAGAGATCGGAGAGAAGGTCGGGGACACGTGGAAACGAAAACACAAACAATGTGAGGATGATGGGACATGGAGAAAAGGATGAAGGAGCGAAAGGCTGGAAAGATGAGGAGTGGGAGCGGCAAGGAGGACGGGCCAACAGAGATTGTATGCGCCCGATGCCCTCCATCTGGCCTTGCAGCCGAGAGTGGCCTGCAACTTCTCCACCTCGGCCTCACACGGGGAGAAGCTTACACCTCCTATCCCGGCTGCCAAGCCGAACGTCCCCCTTGGCTCCCCGTTGCATGCGCCCTCCCCCTCCCCATCCCCACTGCCCAGTCAGACCTTCCCACTGCCAACTCATACCTCCGTCAGTCACTCCCCATGCCTACGTCCCTCTCTTAAGTCGGGCGTGTCCCCCTGCAGGGGGATTTTCGACGAAAAAACATACCCAAAACATACTCCAAAATGATCGAGACATGCGCAAAAAAATAGTCCCCAGACTATTTTTGCACTATCTTTGAATATTCCACCTGGAGAGGGACAGGCCCCATGACAGACAGACCTCTGCCTGCTGGCATGCCAAGCCTTTTCCTCGCGGCGCGGCAGAGGCGACCCGCACGGGCGCTCGGGTCGTCGGTCGTCGCGGCTCGGACTCCCCGTCTGGCTGCCACGGGGGGGCGCGCGGGGAGGAGGAGGAGCGGCCGCTGGGGACACGTGACAGGGAGGAGGGGGAGGGCACTCACAGCTCGGGCCGGGCGAAAGGGGGGGATAGCAAAGGGGGGGGTTGATAGTCAGCTCACGTAGCTGATTTTCCTGGCGCCTCCCGGCGCCGGGAGGCGCCCATGTATCGAGGAATGGGCCCCTCGGCGAGACCGAAGCCAGCTGCATGCAGCAGATTTCGTACCTCCCCCTTTCCCAATCCCCCCCCTTCCGTCCGGCCCGAACAGCTGAGAGCATGTCAGGATGAGCGCGCCAGGGCGGCTGGCTGAACCAACCTGGCAGTGGGCGCTGGCATCAAGGCCACACCCGGAAGCCGAAGCCAGGGCAGCAGGCTCTGGGAGCGAGAAGAGCAGGGTGGTGAGCCAACACGCCAATAGAAACACATCGGGAAGAGAGCTCAGGGAACGGCGGGGACGGGAGCATGCGGTTGTCCGCGACGCTGCCGCCGGGAGAGGCAGGTTTTGCTGCTGAGGGCCAGCGGCAGCTGGATGCAGGACCAAGGTTATATTGCTCCCATCGTAGACTGAAGGACCACATTCCAGAAACAATTTCGAGCACCTGCAAAGGTGTCGAAGCAAGGTCGAACCAATGTCGAACGGGTGTCTCCCAGGGTCCGACACGTGAGAGTTTCGGCACTTTACTGGAGCTCCAAATTTTTTCGGGTGATCAAGGCTGAAGTAGGTTGGAACATCAAAAAACCGAGGTCCCGGGCTCGGCCCGACAAGCCGGCAGGGGGCCGCGCCAGCGCGCGTGGGCTGCAGCACGGTGCTGCCAGAAAACCCCCAGGCTGCCGACAACAGCCGAGGCGGTGCAGCGGGGGCCGGAAGCCGGCTGCTGCGCTGGAGAGGGGGGGGGAAGACCCCGACCCCCGACGTCGTGATTTTTTTCACAACGTCGACCCCCAGAGGTCTGCACCCTTTCGCCGGGACCGGTTTTGCATTCCGAGTCGTTTTTTGACGGTCCCGAGGCCCGGCGAGGACCTCCAGAGGGCGAAAATAGTCAAAACCTCCCGTCGTGATTTTTTCCCGACGCGAGGGGGTCTGGGGAGGGGGGGGGAGAGAAAGGACAGGGAGGAGAGGCGCCCGGCCCGGCGGGCGCACGCACGACCGCCGGGCGGGGCGGGCAGCAGGCCGACGTACGGGGGACAGCCGGGCGGTGGCGGGGGCCTGGCCGCAAGAGCGGCGGGGCGGTGGCGGCCCCGAGGCAGGCAGAGCGAGCGCGCCGCCCTGGAGGGCAGCGCGCGCACTGCGGGATGACCATTATTACAAAAAATGGGAGAGAACGATTAATTAAAATTATAGTTTTCTGCTATTTCTGCACAACTTTCGGACTGGAGGAGAACGATTCAAACAATAGTTTTCCAGCCCGCGGCCGGTTTTTTCTAATCGTCATCCCGGGCGCCGCCGCGTGAACACGACCCCCGGTCATTTATGAATCGTCATCCTCCATTACCAGGGCACCTGATCGGCGCAAGCGCATGCATGAAGGAGGAAAGGCGCAGGCGCAGGAAGCGCGAGCGCGAGGGAGGGAGGGGGAGTCAGGGGGCGTCCCGCTGCGAGGAGCCTGATGGGCGCAGGCGCATTGAAACAATGGGGCGTCCACCTTGGAGGGCAGACGCCCCGGCCTGGGCACAGGAAAGGAACCGTTCTTTACATTGAGAGCGTGTCGCCTTGGAAGGCAGCGCGCGTGCCCGGAGCACCTGATCGGTGCAAGAGCTTGCAATGAGGGAACAAGGTGTGAAGGGCGCAAAAACTTGGGAACCCAGGAGGGCGCCCACCTTGGAGGGCAGGCGCCCCTGGATGGAAGAGGAATCGGCCTGCCAGGTGGACGCGTGCGGTGCTGGCATCGGTTGGAGCCGCCGCCAGTGCAGTACGAGTTCAGCGCGGCCGATCGTCTGTCTAGGGGTGCGGACCTGCCAGGCAGGCGGCCCTGAGCGCCCCGGTCCCACAAAGCTCACCGGCGTCGCACCCAGCTGGGGTCTGAATCCCGCGCAGGCGGGAGTGGTCCCCAGTGGGCCAGGAGGCGTCGCTGGAGCGCTTGCCACACTTGCCTTTCTCCCCGCCGCTGCGCACTTGCTGCTCCTGCCGTTGGCGCCATACCTCGTCCCAGTCAACCCATTTTCGGCGGTGGCGGCAGAAGGCCCTGATGTCGTGGTGACAGTCGGCTGAGTCCGACAGGAAACGCACGCAGAATTCGTCGCTGCCGTCCAAGTTGTGGCGCCCCCTGCCCTTACCCTTCCCGTCCCGGTCGGCGCAGTCGCGGCCCCAGCCCTCCATCAACAGCGCCCCGTAGATGCTCTTATGGGCCAGCTGGTGACTTCGGACCAGGCTTCGAAGCGAGCCGCACTACGCTTCCACAGCTGCCCCCACTCGACATCGCCTCGGGGCACACGGATGGCAGCTGTCACGCGCGTCCTGACATGAATGCCTGCGGTGCGTCGTCTCGCTTTCCCTGTGCGCGGGGCTGGGCGCAGGGAGTTGTGCTGCGCCAGGAAGGTGGGTCATCTCGGGCGCCCTCGCCGGGTCCGCCGCCGTTGCCCCTGGACCAGGTAGCTCAGTCGGCGGCGTTGTGGGAGCCCGGGGTGTTCCTGACCGGGGCTGCGAGGTGGGGCGCGGCCGGTCGCTGGCCTCGTGTCGCTCCTGGTGGCGCCGCCGGCTGCTTCGCCTGCTGTGGCGCTGGCCCAGCTGCCACCACGGATGACCCAGGCCGGGGGCATATAATTGTGACCCCGTCACGCCCCGCCCTCGCGCCGAGAAAAAGTCCTGTGCGGACCTCGTCGCCAGAACCTCCCACCGCGCCAAGAGAGACGCTGGGCAAGAGACGGTCCCACCTTCGTCCTCTTGCGTGGGCCAGCTCGTGTTGGAGGCGCCGGCGTCGTCCCTGGCCACGAGGTGGTCTCCGACCTGCACCCGGGGGAGCCAGTCCCACGTGCTGGTGAAAGGCGTCTGGCCTGGCGGCTGGATAGTACCAACGGCGGAGGTCCGTGTCGTCAGCCAGGGATTCAGCCCTGTCCTGCGGGGTCTCCCCTGCAGTGGTGCCGTCGCCCTCGTCGTCGTCGCCAGGGCCAAGTGGGCACGCTGGGCCCCCATCTTCGTCCCGGTCCGGGCTGGGGCTGGCGTCGGCGGCGGCACCAGCGGGCTCGTTGCTGAGCCCTTCCTTTGGGGGGGGGGGGGGGGCCGCGGCCCTTCGAGCGTCGTACCAGAGGCGGCTGGGTTCCCCGAAAAGGGGGGGCCACCCCGTCCAGGGGCAGCGGTCTCGTCCCCGCCGCCATCCGCCTGTACGAGGTGCCCGGACCTGCCCCGAGCTGCCTGGCGTGCCGGGGTGGCTGGGCCCGCCCGCTCCCGCGAGGGGGGGACGTCGCGCCCAGGAGCCGAGGCCGCAGCCGTGCTGCCAGTCCGCCGCCTGCTCAAGCGCTGTCCTGCCCGTGGCTGCTGGAACGGCACGGACTGCCCCGGCCGCGCTCGGGGCGAGGGCCTGCTGCTCGAGCGGGTGGCCGTGCGCCGGTGGGACTGCAGGACGACGGCAGCTTGCCAGCAGCGGGAACTTCGGATCGCGAGTGCCCTGGCCTGCCAGAAGGACCCCGCGACCTGCTCGTCGTGCCTCGCGGGGTCGGTACCGCTGAGGGCCGCTCCGGATCCTTGGTGGGCCTGCCCCCGCCAGGTTGTCCGACTGGGTGCCCAGGTTGCCTTGTCTCGCCCGTGGTGGTGGAACTTGAATCGCGGAGTGGCCATGACCATCACCGCTGCCCTCGTCAGATGACGAATCGTGCAAGGTCTGACGCCTACCAGGCACATTCCTGAACCAATGCCCCCACCGAATTCTACGGCCACGGCAGCCGCCCTGCATGTCGTTATCCAGCCCGTCGCCTAGATTTAGGTTCGTGAATTGCGACTACAGGCGGTCCACGACCACTTCGGGCCAAAAAACCCAAACCAAAAAAAAACACCAGGAAATCTTGAAACCAAAACCTGGGGAGGTCAACATCCTGAAACACAAATTCAAACACCGAACCTGCGAAAAAACTCAAAACCACAAAAACATAGAAAAAGCCTGAAGCTCAAACCTGGGGAAAAAACTCAAACCAAACAACAACTCGAGAAAATCTCTAAGCCGAAACCTGGGAAATGACTCCGGAAACAACTCATTGGAAAATATGTGGACAAAACTCTAAAACAACTCTAAACAAACTCTTAAACATTCTGGATAAACTCTACACGACTGAAAACTCAAAAAATGTTGAAAAACAACTCACAAAAAAACTCTAAACGCTTGAAAACTCTAAAGAACTTTTAACACATCTGGAACACACTAGAAAACTGTTGGAAACACTCTAAACACGTTTAAAAACATCAAAACAAAACCTTCCTGGTTTGAGATTTTTTGTTTTCCGGGTTTGAGCTTGAGGTTGTTTCTAAGTGTTTTGTGGGTTTGACTTTTTTTCCCAGGCTTCGGCTTCAAGATTTTCTGTAGTTGCTTCTGTGTTTGAGTTAACTCCAGGTTTTGTGTTTGAGACTTTCTCAGGTTGTCTTGGATTTTGAGTTTCCCATTCAAGATTCTTCAACATTTTTTTGGAGTTTGAGTTTCCGGCCGAAGATGTTTTCAAGATTTCGGCAGGTGTTCCTATGGACCGCCTGTAGTCAATTCACGAACCTATGGACTGCCTGTAGTCAATAATGTTGCAAGACGACCCGAGAGCTGACAAGGAGACCCAAAGATGCATTGAACATGCCTCAACGAGCAATCAAACGGGAACCAATAGGCGCACATGAGGCCAAACAAACGGCCCGAGAGACTGCCAAGACGACCTGCGATCTTCCCAAGCCATCCACATGTTAGCCAGCGTGGACACCATAACATGTTGCTCTAGCAACCTACGTGGTGCAAGCTAAGTCGAACGATGAACGTGGTGTAATGGATGTGGTGCTATATATGTAGCGCAAGACATGCTATGCAACTTATGTTGTGCCATCTATGAGTAGTGGGGTCTAGGTGGTGGAACGGATGTGGAGCAATACATGTGATGTAGTGCATTCGACGTGGTGCAAACGATTTGGTGCATTCGATGTTGTGTGGTTCAGATGGTGCACCATCGACATATAGATGGTGCGAGCTGTAATACGCACTCTATATCCTGCAATATATGTGGGGCAAGCTATCTGGTGCGAATAATTTTGTTCGCTGTGAGATGTCAACTAGACTGCTCGCGCAATCATCACACCCACCCACCCGCAACTTGGTTTGCAAGACCGGCGGCGATTGCGATGAGTGCTTGGTGTTGGCTAGTGCACCTCTGCGGCCGTGCTAGCCAACGCATGCTCGTCGCGCGCACAGCGGCCAGATAGTTTGACGCGGCCAACGCGGCCGCGGTGGCGCTGACCGCTGGGGATTTCCCGCGACCGGTGTGCCGAAAGTGGGCGGGCGCGGTACCATGGCGAAGTCGACAATTGTAGACATGGTGATGATAGTAGCGATGATGGTGACGATGGTGACGATGACGACGGCACGGCCAATGACGGCGCCGATCCTGATCACGCAAATGACGATGACGATGTCCTCGTGTCGGTAATGAAGATGTTGGGAAGAGTTCGACATGCGCGCGCGAGTGGCCCGCATGGTGTTATTTGAGAGGGATCGTGCCCCCCCAGCGCGCGCGCAAGGGCGTTCGAATGATTTCGACATGCGGCGCGAGAGGCCCGTTTTGTTGAACGTTCGGAAAAAAAAAAAAAAAAAAAAAAAAAACGATCGCTTTCCCCAACCATCCTGTGGTGTTGGGTTCTCGTTTTGAAGAGACAGCGCCCCGCGTTCCTCCTTCCTGCCTCCCTCCTCCCATTCGTGCCTCTGCCCTCCGCATGTCCACAATTTCGGCACACCCCTCACATGCTTCGTGGCCCCATAGGGAGCTCCACCGAAGGCTCCAGTGGGAGGGTTCGCATGGCACCACTGCACCCAGCTAGGCACACCCTTCACACTGTTCGTAGCCCAGTAGGGAGCTCCACCGAAGGCCCCAGTGGCAGGGTCCCCATGGCGCCGCCGCCCCATTTCGGCACACCCTTCACACGGTTCGTGGCCCCGTAGGAAGCCCCACCGAAGGCCCCCCTGGCGGGGTCCGCATGGCGCCGCCGAAGGTTCAGGATGCCTGCTGCCGAGCGAGACCGGGGGGCGGGCCCTGCTCGGGCACCGGGAGCCGAGGGCCGACTACGGCGTGATATTAGGTCGGGCCTGTCCCCCTACAGGAGGATCTTCGACGAAAAAATATTCAACAAATACTCACAAATGGTCAAAAAACTTTCAAAGAATAATCGCCATATTATTTTTTTGACTATTTTTGAACATTCCCCCTGTAGACCAGCGGGGATTCCCGATGCCCAAGGCGCCGATTGCACCCACGTTTCGCTAGCAGTCGCAGAACCGAGACATCGCGCGTGCGTAGAGCGCCGTGCGCCCCGGAGGTCGGGGAGGCTGGGCCTCCATGGCGGACGGCTCCTCCTCCGACGCGCCCCTGGCGCCCAGCAGCAGCCGCAGGCGAGACCTCCCCCGGCCCGCAACACCATGAGACATGCCCCCACCCCCTCCGGAAAAGCACGGGCCCCGCTGCCGGACCGCCCCCTCCCCCCACATGGGGGGGAGAGGTGCCCTCTCCGCCGGAGCTCACGGCATCGACCCACACTGGGGTGGGGGGCGGGGGGCCCTCTCCGCCGGAGCTCGCGGCCGGCATCCGTCCACACAACTGGGGGGGGGGCAGGGTGGCGTCAGGGCCGCCCTCGCTCAGAGGGGACGGGGAGACTGCAATACCGATGCTGAAGCCCGCAGCTGGGACAACTGGGACATCGAAAGGCCAAAGGATGAGCGACAAGAATGTAGGAGCCGCGGCGGCTCGCCGTGGCTCTTGCGGCGCGACCCCTCTCTGCACCCACCCCACGTCCCCGCACACGTGCTGGAGATCGAGAAGGCGCGACGCGAGGAAGGCATCTTGGACACGACGCGACACGAGAAGGCCTGGCGTCGCCATCGAGCGATCTCTCGCACTATACCCCAGGCGCTCGCAATGCAGTCGGCGCAAGCAGGCAGAGAACCCCCCACGAACTCCCTCGGCTCCTCTGGCTCACAAGATCCCCTCCCAGCATCCTTCCACCATGGACCACACAGTCCTGCCTCAACATCCCTCTAGGTCCAAAGTTCCCTCTTTCGCCTGGTGTTTTTGTTATCTCCCGCCCCCCTGCCCTCCTCGTGCAACCACGAGGGATCATAGAGCTTACAAATCACGAATATTCCAATCTACTGAAGACCACCCTCCCGAGCCTGGACTTATCAATTCTCCCTAGGATCGTGCAAGATCCATGTGAAATCAGACCATCCCAGCCAGGGCGGTATCGACGCCACCTCCTCGTCATCAATGTTGAATACAACAATGCGCGCACACTCGTGTAGCTGGGCCCTTCAATAACCCCTTGCAACAGCAACTACACAAAACGAAGTCAAACCACGCGCGTACCTGTCAAAATCAGACTGAACCCCTGAATTCCACAAGCGCTTCAACAGACAACAAGTAACATATACATGTGTGTTTTGATGATGCAGGCTGCTGGTGCTCTGCATGTCCGAACTTGCTGGGGTCATGCGAAGTCCATCTGATGTTCGCAGTCTCGTCAAGGACCTGTCTTCTCATCTCGCAACAGGGTGCACCCGCGCTGATCCAGTACGAGCCCAGCACACGACACCGTGTCAACGAATACCGTGCGGGCCACGTGCGCGCGCCGCCACGCACGCGTGTCGGAATCCTTCCAGAAGCATGCTGTTAAAACCATGTCACAGTAGAGCTCTGCGGACAAAGCCCAGCGTTTCTCCAGCACGGAATTTGCCAGATGCCTTGAATTTCTGCGCACGCGCGCACTTCACCATCAAACTCATCAATACCATCGCATCCCCGCCGGTGCCGTCATCGTCAATCGCCGCCATTGCCGCAATCATAATCACAATCACATTCATCAACGGCACATGGACACCATCATCGTCATCGTCGTCACCAACATCGGCGCCGTCATTAGTAACCTTTCCGACGTCGTCATCACAATCGCCAACAACATCACGATTATCATCATCGTTGCCGCCGCTGTCGCCATCATCGAGATACCGCGCCCGTCCGAGTCACCGACCCGTCAAACCCCTGGAACCAAATCCGATGAGTGATTTGGGCGATCGGCTTGAATGGCGCAAGATTGTGCAGCAAACTACGCGCAAAAATACGATGCAACACATCTAGCAAGCCCATGGTACGTGAATGGTTGCCAAATCTAAATATACACAATATTTCCTGGCGAATGACCAAACCACATGGTGTGTCGAGATGTGCAATGTGACGCCGTGCGGGCACTGCCACTGGGGCCTTCAGTGGTGCTCCCTGTGCAGTCACGAGACATGTAAGGGGTATGCCGACGGGGTGACGCAATGCGGGCTGCCACTGTGGCCTTCAGTGGGGCACCCTGTGGGGACGCGAAACATGTGAGGGGTGCGCCGAACTGGGAGGGGTGACGCAATGCGGGCGCTCCCGCTGGGGCCTGCGGTGGTGCTCCGTGTGGGGTGACTAAACGTGTGACGATTGCGAACTGGGCTGGGTGGCGCAATGCGGACGCTGCAGCTAGGGCCGTCGGTCGGGCTCCCTGTGGAGTCACAAACCGAACGAGAATTCCGTCGAAATGGGCGGTTTGACGGTTTGACACGGGCACTGCCACTGGGGCACTCGGTAGAGCTCACCGTGGGGTCACGAAACATGTGAGGTGTTCGCCGAACTGAGCGGGGTGACGCAATGCGGGCGCTGCCGCTGGGGTCTTCGGTGGAGCTCACGGTTGGTCACTAAACGTGGGAGGGTGGTGTTGAAGCGTGCAGGGTGGCGGCATGCGGGCGCTGTCACTGGGGCCTTCGGTCGGGCTCCCTGTGGGGTCACGCGGCATGTGAAGGGTATACCGAACTGGACGGGGTGACGCAATGCGGGCGCTGCCGCTGGGGCTATCGGTGGGGCTCGACGTGGGGACACGAACTGGGCGGGTGACGCAATGCGGGGTCTGCCACTGGGGCCTCCGGTGGAGCTCCCAATGGGCTGGCCTAGAGCCGATGATGAGGATCATGATGACGATGGCGATGAAGATGGTGATGCGTACGATGATGACGACGATGCCGATACGAACGATGCTGATGATGCTGACGAAGATGCTGGTGACGAGGTCGTGCGGAGCGCAGGGGCACGGATGGGAGGAGGGAGGAAGGGAAGGCAGATGACGAGGATGAGGAGGAGGAGTGAGGACGCGGGGCACGGCACCTTCAAACAGAAGGGCCAACACCACAAGATGGCTGGGAACGCTCAATCAACGTGCCTGCCAACGGGATGCCGTCGGACTTCTGCGCGCGACCACGCGATGAAACCATCTGCAAACCACCAGGTGGTTCGCCAGCATGTCAAAGGTCACCGTGCGAGCCACGCGCGCGCATGCCAACAACGGTCAGCAACCATCGCGCGCCCGCCAGCTCTGTCGAACGAGACGCGGTGGGCCACACGCGCGCGCGCCTCCGCCCCGCGCACGTCGGCATCAATCTGAAGCAAGTGGTCTCACAAGTATGTCATCACGGGGGTGTTCAAACCATGCATCAGCCAAATGGTTTTCCGAACGCCCCAGCAGTGCAGAGACATCAACTTCCAGCATCCCCATCACCAACACAATCGTCATACGCATCTTCAGCATTGTCACTCCCACCGTCGACCCACACTAACACCATCGCCGTTATCCCCACCACCGCCGTCATCATCGTCATCGTCGATGTCGCCTTCCTCGTCAAACTTCTGCGCGCGCCCACTTCCTCACCATCCTCATCAACACCATTGTCGGCATTCTCGCCAACGTCATCGTTGCCGCCGTCAATCTTATCACCATCAGTTTCATCGCCCTCACCAGTGTCGCCATCGTCCCCACCGTCGCCACCCACATCAACGTCATGATATTCATGATTGTCAACATCAACATCATCACCGTCGTCATCGCCGTGATCGCCACCCAGTTGAGTGTTACCAATAAATTGTTGCTGGGTGTGATGTCTGGTGGAGCATTGGAGGTGGTCACACGCGGACGCGGCTCAACTTAACGAAGAATCTATTCCCTGGGCGCATGGTTGATTGAACAGGTCACAGCCTGTCATATCAATCAAACAAATTTCGACATCACACCCGCGATCCCCTTCAAATGACGATGTGCCGTACACAAACCTATTTAACAAGCTGGTCTTGTAGCAACACCTGTACAGTAGTTCCATGCAGACCACACGCGCGGCTCCACGCACGCATATCGACATCGCTGGCAAACCTACGGTGCATATGAGCTTAGCTATAGAACTGCTCGAACAATTGCCCGCTTGAACCAACAATGCCCCTGCACTGCAAACCTTTGACTTTTCCCAGCGCGCACACTTCGTCATCATCTTGATCAGCACGACCATCATCGTCACAGCAAGTGTCATCATTGCCATCTCCACCATCATCACCATCATCTCACTCACAATCACCATCGTCATCATCATCACCACCTTCAACACCGAGGCCATCGTCACCGTCCTTGCCATCATCCTCGCCAGCCTTCTCATCGTCGTCGTCGCTGTCGTCGTCGTCGTCGCCACCATCACTCGCCAACATAAGTCATGGACCTACATGGGAAGGTCCGCGGCGTCTGTGCACCTGGTGAGAGTTGCGAACGCGTTCCGACGGTTGACTGCAATCGCGGCCTCTGAGTTCTGGTAACACGGTCGGGGTGGATGGGGCAGATCCATGCTCGAGCACTGAAGTACGCTAGCACGTGAATCAAGTACTTCATTGCACAACACAAGCTGCACCAACCAGTCTGCTCCAGATAGCATGCACCACGTAGCATGCACCATATAGCTTGCAACACCTGTGAGAGTGCACCCAATAGAGTTCACCACATAGGCTGCACCGCGAAGCTTGCACTACCCATGCTGGACCACTCGCATACACATCGTGGATTGCACAGCAATCTGCAACGCATGGATTGCACCACTTAGCGTGGGTCCCATCGATTGCAACACATACAGTGCAGACATCGGATGCGCGAACAAATAAATTTGGGCCCGCACTGGCAATGGTTCGCTCATATACATATATGTATACACGTATGGGCACGCAAAGATCGGTCCGTCACCCTGTTCTTCTTCACCGGAAGAGAACCGATGGTGACCGTACGCGTTTCCCCCCATGCTCTTTTCACATAATATAGAAGTATCTCTCTTATCTCCGTACGCAGCTATGTTATGCACAGGCAATGTGTCGCACCCCCCTTTCTCTCACACTCTCTCTGCCTCTCGCTCTCTCTCTCTCTCTCGTTCCCCCTCTCTGTCTTAATCCTGTGTGTGGAAGGGGGTGCACATAGATCGAGTTTGTGTGGGGGTGCGAAGTGGTTCCCTTCTATTGCGGAGGGAGGGAGGGCCTGACACTGGGGGCAAGGCCCCAGGAAGCAAAACCACGGACTCCACGGATCCACTGGCTAGGGGTTATCTTCTTCTGGGGCCCCGAAAGGAGAGAACCAATGGATGCAGGAAGTACGGTGGGGGGGCATTGGACCAGGAACCCTTAGATAAGGAACTCAGGGCCTGGAAGACGGTGGCAATCCAATACTGGATCGGCCATGGATATCACCACCGCCTTCATCAGATAAGGCATCCTCGCCAGCCTTCTCATCGTCGTCGTCGCTGTCGTCGTCGTCGTCGCCACCATCACTCGCCAACATAAGTCATGGACCTACATGGGAAGGTCCGCGGCGTCTGTGCACCTGGTGAGAGTTGCGAACGCGTTCCGACGGTTGACTGCAATCGCGGC